GGGGAGAGGAATTTGGATGGAATCGGATGGCGTGTGGAACGGGCTTGGCCTTCACCACCAGCTCACTTGGGCACTAATTCCTTACCACTGTCTGTGGGGGTAAAGTCTCCCCCCCCGCTCCATGGCCCAGGAGGACACAAGGTCCTTTTGGCCTGTGCCATGTGCTCTTGGGCACCCAGCAGTTGCCAGGCCAAGCTGCCTCCCAAAGCCAGCAGCAAACTCTGCCCCAGGCATGGACTGCGGAGTCAGCGAAGGAGCCTTGGGTCTTGTCAGGAGTTCTCTCCCGCTGGACTGTCCCCTCAGCTACACAGCGTCAGCTCAGCCCCACCCACTCCCTGCCTCTGTCCCCGGGCCAGGCCTGAGCCTGCCCTGGAGGCTCTCCCAGCTGTCCTGAGGTCCCCTCTGGCTCCCGCAGACGCTCCCCCTCTCCACCCTGGAGGCCTGTCTGGACACCGGCCCCTCCCCATGCAGAGGCAGCCCCAGACATCACTCCTGGGCCGTTCTTTTTTCCTGACAACTGTGATATCAAATGTCAACCAGGCTCTGCTCTGCCGCGCACAGACAGGTGGGGGCTAGGGGTGGTTCTTGATAGCTGTGTGGTTTAGGGGAGGGTCCTCTGGAGCTCCACAAGGGGCTAGGAAAGGCTGGCTGTGGTCAGACTTTGCTCCCAATCCATAGCACTTCTTGAGCAAACTTCTGCCTCCCCAGACCTTGAGCACTCTGAGCCACCCGCTGTCTCTGCCTTCCCTGGGTGGTATGAGGATCTGGGGACAGAGGCAAAGCCCTTTGGGGACTGGGAAAATGCTGGGCAGGTGGCAGTGGCCTCCTCTGAGAGCTGACTGTCTTCCAGGTGGGCTCTGGAGAGGGGTGCTGAGCAGCTCTGTGCATCAGACCTCAGGAGAGCCTGTCCTCCTGTCCTCACTTGCCCTGAGTGAGCCGGGACAGCTGGCACCGAGCACCGGGGAAGCGGGCTCTGGCGGGCCCTGACAGCTCAGCAGTGGCAGCAGCGGAGGTGGCAGTGGCCGCAATGGCAGGGGCTATTCTGAGAGCTGGGAGAGGCTGGGGAACTGGGACTGGAGGAGGGGCAGCAGCAGGGGAGGAGACAGTCCTCTGAGGGCAAGGGGAGTGTCGCTGCGGCCCAGGGAGGGGTGTCTGCCAACATCAGTCCTGTTGGGAGAGCTGTGTGTTGTGTGCTCCTCCCTGGGAGGGGGTGGGCAGGTTGAGGTACTGAGGCATGCACTGGGGCTGTTTGGGTGCACGTGTACCAGTTTTGTGATGCAAGCAGGAGCTGAGTGGGTAAAGCCCATGTCTGTGTGTGAGCGAGAGAGTGTGCGTGCATTGGAATTCCAGCGTGTTTAAGCCTGGGAAAGTGTGAGAGAAGCAAATGTGTCTGTGTGTGAAAGGGGAGGAATGCAAGGGTAAGCAAGTGGGGGCTTGTTTGTGAGCAGGAATGAATGTGGGAGTGTTGGGGAGGGTAAATGGCAGATTGAAAGCAAGCATGGGGGAGGGAAGAGGAGTGGAGGGAGGAAGGAGAAGGCAGACCTGGGGCCAAGAACCAGAGGAAGATTCCGGCCTGTGCAATTGGGATGCAAGTGGAAGGGACATATGCAAGTGTGCATGTAAGAAAGCCAGTGCATGTGAGTGGGCACAAATGTGTGCGTGGTGAGAGCAGATGAGGCAGTGTGAGTTGGGACAAGTACAAAGGGAAGATATAGATGCAGGAGCAACACCAAAGGTAATAAAAACGGCAAGCTTTTATTTAAAAATCTATATATATATTTTATTGATTTTTTACAGAGAGGAAGAGAGAGGGATAGAGTTAGAAACATCGAGAGAGAATCATCAATCAGCTGCCTCTTGCACACCCCCTACTGGGGATATGCCCACAACCAAGGTACATGCTCTTGAAGGGAATCAAACCCAGGACCTTTCAGTCCGCAGGCTGACAGTCTATCCACTGAGCCAAACTGGTTTCGACAAAAATGGCAAGCTTTTATTGAGTGCTTACTTCGAGCCTGGTGCTGATATTCATGATCTTACCGAGTTCTTCAAATATCCTATGAAGTCAATGCTATGACGACACTCATTTATAGATTGGGAAATAGTGGCTCTGAGCAGTTAAGTAGCTGCCTCATCATGAGTGTGGGAGCAGGGGCCAAGTTGTGAGTAAAGAAGAATGGGTGTCAGTGTGTGGCATGGTGGGTGTGTATGTGGAGGGGGGCTGAGTGTGCCAGATGTGGGTCCCAGAGGAGAGCCGGGCAGCAGCTGTGGACACTGGGTGGGGCAAGGGCCTAAGCAGGGTCTGAGTCAGCCTGAGTCAGGGTGTCTCTGCCAGCCTGGCTCTCCTGCCCCGCAATGGCAGCCTGTGCCAGGCCCCCAGCTAAGGATCCTCCCGGCTTTGGTATGGCCCCCAGCAGGTCTCCATCTCACAGAGCTGGCTGGGCCAGGGCTGAAGACTGGCAAGGGGCCTGCCTGGCCTCCGGAGTAGCTGAGAGGGCAGCTCCCAGTGTGGGCTCCCAGGCAGGGAGGGCATATGAGCACTGTGGAAGGGGGTACAGCAGTGAGTTCAGGGCCCTTGAAACTCTAACCAGAACCACCTGGAGAGTGTGCACATTATGCAGCAGGGTATGGGGGATAGCTGAATGCTCCCATGCCCACCCTTGCCTACAGGGATGTGACTCAGGAAGATGCCATGCCAAGCATTTGCAGACTGGGCCTGCTTTCACCCCAGGGGGTGAGGAGGGGCCCCGTTGGCCCCACCCCACAACCATACCCTTAGCCCTTACTTCTTGGGACTTCAGTTGGAAGGAAGGGATTTTTGAGAGAGGCTGACTCCCAGGGCCCGGGCCCAGTCCTCTCACACCCCAGAGAACTATTGCCAATTGCCGCCTAGGAGAGTATTGAGTGATGGCTTGGGATTCTAGTTCTGCCCATTCCATCTGGGCAAGTCACCAAGACAAAAGGCCTGGCTGGAAGAACAGGACATAGTGTGGGCAAGCAAGGAACAGAGACAAGTGTTGGGAGTTGGGGTTAGAGAAGGTGTCAAGGACGAGTTGACATTTGAGCTGAGCTTTGAAGAATGGGAGAATCTCTGGTCACGTCCTCTAGGAGAGGAAAGGTGTTCTAGGCAGAGGGCATACTTTGAGCAAAGGCAGGCAGGTGGTATGGTGACTGGAGACCTAGCCTAGAATGCTGTGGAATGAGGTCGTGGGCTGCCCAACTTCTCAGCCAGCCTCCCCTTCTGAGGCCATATGATGATCTGATCAACATCGACTCTTCCCCTAGCCCAGTGGTCGGCAAACTCATCAGTCAACAGAGCCAACTATCAATAATACAACGATTGAAATTTCTTTTGAGAGCCAAATTTTTAAACTTGGAACTTCTTCTAAAGCCAATTCTTCAAAATAGACTCACCCAGGCCATGGTATTTTGTGGAAGAGCCACACTCAAGGGGCCGAAGAGCTGCATGTGGCTCACAAGCTGCAGTTTGCCGACCACAGCCCTAGCCTATACTACGAACCCCCTCTGCCTCTGCTGCTGCTCTTGCCATAGTGACCTGAGCATCGAAGGTGTTCAATGAATATCTGTTAAGTGAATGAGAAGCTTCTCCCCACACAGGATGGATTTTGGGGCAAGTGTTTCTTCCAACAGCTCCTGCAAGAGCATCCCACAGACTTTAAACCAGTGGTTTGTAGAGTGTAGTCCTCAGTGCACCACCTGGGAACTTGTCAGAAATGCAATCTCCAGCCCCAACCCAGGCTTATCCTGTGAGGTCCAGCAACATGTTTTCACAAGCTCCTCAGGTGGATTCTGCTACACTTTAAACTTTGAGAATCCAGGCTCTAAAACTATGTCCAAGGGTACCCCCCAAGAGCGGATGAAGACCTCGTTGCAGGTGGAGAAGCTAGAAACGGAGCAAAGCCTGGCCCAGAACCCAGGTCCTCTTTCCCCAGCCCCGTCTAGGGCACAAAGGCGAGCTCCACCATCTGCCCCATCGGGAGGATTCTAAGACTTGGAAACGCCAGGTATCCAGTCAGGGGCTGGGCATTCCCTGCGCGAGTAGAAGGCGGGGTCGAGCGCTCCGAGCCCCGCCCCATCCTCGTTGCCCCGGGAAACCCAGGGTTGTAACAATAACCCGCTGACGCGCTTCTGGGCGGGACCCTGCCGAGTCCGTGGGTGGGGACAGCCCTGCTGCGAACCAATGAGGGCGCTGGGGCCCCGCCCCCGCGCTCCCTCCCCCCCAGAGCCGAGCAGGGGGCGGGGTCGCGCCCGCCGCTCCTCCCTTGCTCCCTAGGCGGCGCTGTTGCTTGCAGGGGATGCTGTGGGGTCGCCCCGAGTCGCGCTCCCCGCGTCCCCCCCACTACTCCCCCGGCCCGCGGGCGGGGCAGCCGGCAGGCCCAGGATTCCGTGGCTGCTAGTGGGGACGCCCCGCCCCCGCCCCCGCCGGGCCCGCCCCTTCTGGGTCCCCCGCCCATCCCGAGGTGCAGCCGGCGCTGAGCGCGGCAGGCGCGGGAGCTGGCGCTGGAGCCGGAGAGGCGGCGGCGGCGGCGGCGGCGGCGGCATTCACGGGGCGGCGGCGGGGCGGGCTCCCGCACGGGCTCGGGCTCCGGCATGGTGCAACCCGGCCTCGTCGTCCCAGGAGACCGGGGCCCGCGCGCGGGGCCGGCGCCCGGGGAGCGGCGGCAGCAGCGACGGTGGCGGCGGTGGCTGCAGGTCCAGGCGGGCGGCAGGTGCTAGAAGCGGGGCTGCGCGAGGTGTGCGCCCGCTGGGCTCCGGGGCCGCCGCCCCCTCGCGGCTCTGGTCTTTCCCTCCCTTTGGGCTTCCCAGCGGCACCAGCCCTCCGTCTCCGCGCCCCGCCGGCCCATGGCGCCCCGCGGTTGAGCCGGCGCCGCCGCCGCCAGGGACCCCTCCCGCGGGCCTCCCCGGGGCGCGCAGATCCCGGAGCCACCCGCCCGCCCTCCGCGGAGCTCCCCGCCTCGCCCGAGCGAGCGGGCGGGACCATGGCTGCGAAGCTGCTGCGAGCGCATCAGGTGGACGTGGACCCGGACTTCGCGCCGCAAAGCCGGCCGCGCTCGTGTACCTGGCCCCTGCCGCAGCCCGACCTGCTCGGCGGCGACGAAGACGGGGCGCTGGGCTCGGGGGCGGCCGAGGGCGCCGAGGACTGCGGGCTGGAGCGCCGGGCGGCGGCCCCGGCCATGGCCCCAGCGCCGCCCCTGGGAGCGGAGGTCGGCCCGCTGCGCAAAGCCAAGAGCTCCCGGCGGAACGCGTGGGGGAACCTGTCGTACGCCGACCTCATCACCAAAGCCATCGAGAGCGCCCCGGACAAGCGGCTCACACTCTCGCAGATCTACGACTGGATGGTCCGTTACGTGCCCTACTTCAAGGATAAAGGCGACAGCAACAGCTCGGCCGGCTGGAAGGTGGGGGAGTCCGGCTGGGGAGAGGGGCTGGGCTCCTTGGCTAAGGGCTTCCAGGGGGGGAGCTCTGTTGTGTGTCTGGGTTCCGGGCGAGCCTGCGGGAGGGAGGCCCCCCTGGGGCGTCCCTAGGGGTCAAGGAGTGTGTGCCCGGGGCGTGGGGCTGGCCAGCAGACAGGAGGGGGCGTGCTGGGAGCAGCTGTGTGCATATTCTGGACGTGGGATGGGAGGTCTCGTGGGGTAACAAGGGGACTGACTGCCACTTTGAAGCACCCCCGAAGGACTGACACCCCCAGCCCATGCATCCTTGGAGGCATCGCAGGGGAACCCATTCCCAGGCTTCGGACAGTGGGGAGCCTCCCCTCACCCCCATGAGCGTCCTTTGAGTTACTCTTGTTTTGCCTCTGCACCAGGGCACCCTCCTTAAAGAAGCTGGCAGAATGACTTGGTCAGTGGCTGCTCCCCCCCCCCCCCCCCAGATCTTTCCCACTTCCCTGCCTGGCGCTGACCCCAGGGTGAGGAGTGCAACCCTCAGCTGGCAGCTCTCCCTGTGGAGCCAGGAGTTCACCTTAGGGCACCGGCTAGTCTGGGGTGGGGTGACTTGTCAGGTGACCCGGGATCTGAGTTTTCCACGGGGCAGCGGCTGTCCCCTTGCTCTGATCAGTATGATGGGCCGGTGATGATGACTACGGCTGGTGTTAGGGCATGGCGTTGAGGGCCGGGGATCTGTCCCTGCCTACCCCAGGCTGTCTTCGGCTTCCCAGGCTTCCTGAGCTCAGATGCATTTGGGAGTGGGGGAGGGGCGGGGGCACCCCAAGGGAAGCCTCCCTGCCAGCCAGGGGAGAGGGGAGAGCCATCTTGGGAGAGGACAGGGGCTTGACTGGATTGTGGGTTCCAGACCCTCTCGTGGGGAACGGAAAGAGTCGGTGTTTTGGAGGGGGAAAGAGTCGGTGTTTTGGAGGGGGGGTGGGGAATAGGAAGTTGCGGATGGAGGGACTGTGCCTGAGGTCTGTGAGCTGTCAGACTCCCTATGGGAGCGGGGGATCTCTGCCAGGGAGGCATGCCTAAATGGAGGGAGGGGGCTGTGCCTGCTGGTGGCTGCAGGCAGGGTCAGAGGAGATGTACTGGGGAGATGTGGGACGCCCAAGCTTGTTGGCATGGACAACACTAGATGCCCGGTGGCTGCATTGTAGGGTTGCTCTGACCTGGGCGCCTATGGCTCTCAGGCCACTACGGGGTGGAGTCACAGGCTGGAGGAGCAGACACGAGCCTCCTTCCCTAGCCCCTCCAGTCCCCTTGGGATCAGCTCCCATCAGAACACTTATTCCTCCCAGTGTGTCCTGCCCTTGGGCTTATCTCCACCTCCTTTCCTGCTCCCCTTGCACTGTCCCACCTTTTACTTCTCCTTGTTCTGAAGGGCAAAGTTCGGATGCCTCTTCCCGGAAGCCTTCCTTAACCCTTTTAGTTAGCTTAGGAATCCCTCTTCTCTGCTCCTCTCCCTGCCTGCCATAGGTCTGAGTCTTTTGTGTCCCATCTCATTTCCCTTCCCCACCCTGCGTTTGGGAGACAGTGGCCGTGTCAGAGTAATTTCTGTGCCCACAGCACCCAGCGGTGGGGCCTGGCACTAGGGAGCTGCCAGTGCTCTCTGGCGAAAAAGGGAAGAAATGGGTGGAGGGTGCAAAGGATGCTGAGGCTGTGGGCCAGAGTGAGCCAGGAGGGCTTGGTGGATTAGGGATGACAGGGGAAGATGACAAGAGGGGACATGACGCTAGAAGCGAGGAGAGCACTGCAGTTCACTGAGGCTCCCAGGGCCAAGCCCGGTGCCAGACACTTTCGGGCATCTGTGCCAGGTGTCTCCCTGAAGGCTCTCATCAGTCCCTGAGGTGGGTTTTATTGTCACCATGTACAGAGCTGGCCACTGAGGCACGGAGGAGTGAACTTCCCACCATCAGTAGATGGGAAAGCCAGGCTCCAGGCCTGGGGTCTCTCCCTCCGGTGCCCCACAGAGCGAGCCTCTGGGTGCTGGCCCTGCGTGGGGGAGTGGTGGGACCCCGATGGCTTTTGAACAGGGGCAGGTCTCAATCCTGAAACGTGATTGGGAATGTGCCTGGGGACAACTTCGGCCCACGAGCTCATTTCTCAGACTGTGAGACCGAGGCCCCGGAAGGAGCCGGGACTCTCCCCGGGCCGTCGGTGAGCAGCAGGCCTGGATGGCGGCCATGCCTCCAGTTTGCCCATTGGATGCGATATTCTCTGCACCAAGCTGCTCAGGACATGGCGGTTCTCCCTGGGCCTGGGCTCAGGAAGGAGGGAGTTCTGGAAGGCTCGTCCTGGGCTGGAGCATTGGAGAGGGAGCCTCAGGCGTGGGCTCCTGACCTAGGCCCTGGTGGAGACCACCGAACCCCAGGGAGCCTCTTTTCCCTCTCATCCTACTCCCCCTGCTGCCTCTGCCCCCAGTCCCCGTCAGGCCCTCCAAGAGCCTGGTAGAGGGGCGGTCCCTAGCTCCCAGCCAAGCTCTGGTTAGCAGTGGTACACCTCAGGTGCCTAGACCGGGGCCAGGACCCATGGTTCCTTCCTTCCTCTCCTCCCCCACATAAATGCTGCACTGGGGTCCCCGTGTTGTACTAAGCCCGGGGTCGATGGAGTGGGTCCACCGAAAGGAAAGACATTGGACCTGCCTTAGGGCACATCGGGGCTCAGCCAGTTCCACACCCAGGCCCGGTGTTTCACAGGAAGGAAGGGCCGGGGGTGGGAGCAGAGGTAGGGGGAGGGCAGGTGAGATCCCTTGGAGGAGCCCAGCAAGCCCTGCCTGAGAAGGTGGCACTTGATCCAAACTGCTTTCATCGGGGTAGAACTTGGGAGAAATTATTCCAGCCGAGGTGGAATCGAGCTTGCTGGGTCTGGGAGACCCTTGGGCGTGCCAAGCTAAAACCCGAGGCTCCGAAGGAGGGCAGGGAGGTGGCATGGGAAAGGCAGAGTAGTGGGACAGCGCAGGAAGGGCTCATGGGCTTGGCCTATACCTGGTGGTCCCACCTGTGATGTGGGGAGGGAGTGGAGCAAATCGAAGGAGGCAAGATGGGCAGCGGGCGCAGTACCCCCAGCAGGCTGAAGCCTCCGTGCCGGGAACTCTGTTACAATAGAGGCTGATAGCGTTCCCCTCAGAGAGGAGGGTCTCCAGGCCTGGGAAGAGGGCTTGGACCGGAGGTCCCCATCCCTCCGCCGTGTCCCAGGAGTGTGGGTATCGGACATCCAGGTAGGGCCTCCCTCCCACTTTCTCTCAGATGCTCCGGCGCCACCTTTCCTAGTGATGACTCCTCCGGGGAGCCTTCCAGGCTGCACTGGGTCCCCGTGAAGCACTTAGCACTCCTGTCTCTTATCGCCCCTGGAGTTGTTCTGCCTGTTTCCTGGCTGCCAGCTCCCCTGGGAGCTCCCAGGCCAGGCCTGGGCGCCTCCCCTTCTTGTCCCCAGGCCTGGTGGGGGAGGAGCACGGGGATGAGGACTGCTCTTTCCCCTCAGGGCCTGGAGCAGCCTGGCTGTTGAGGGGTGGGATCTGGAGGGATGGTGTGCTGCGCCCCTCAGCCCAGGCTGCCAGTAGGTCCCAAGTGGGATGGGAGCTAGAAGGAGGGACTGATCTGAGACGCCAGGAGGAGGGTCCTGCTACAGCTGGGCTGAGCATTGGCTGTGAGTCCTGGGGGCGCCCCCTTTTTTCCTCCCCTAGCCTGCTGGAGCAGGGCTCCCTCCTCCTCCTCCTTTGTCCTCCAGGGGATCCCCAGCCCCCAGGGCTAGTGGGGTGTGGGAAGAGTCTGTGTGAGCCAGGGTTGGGGGGTGTCCTCACAACCCCACCCACCCACCCACAAACACACTGCACGAGCGGGGGGCTGGCAGCTGCCCGCCTCCTGGGCACAAGCCCGTGCCAGCCGCTCCTGGCACAGTTGCTGGCACGCCCGGCAGACTCCCACGGCCACCTGCTCACACCCACCCACGAGCTAGCGCTGGCGCTGCGGGCCCTTCCGGCTTTCCGGGCCTCCCGGGGCCCCTCCCCCGCGCTCCGGAGCCCCCAGCCCAGCCCTGGGCTCCCTGCCCGCCTGCCCGCCCGACCCCCTCGCTCTGGCCTGTCCGGAGCCCAGGGAGGTGGCCCCAGACCCACCCAACTTGGGGAGCTGAGTCCCAGGCCCCTGGGGGTAGCTTCGCTGCGGGGAGGGGAAGAGGGGGCACTGGGAAGCAGACAGACCGACAGACAGGGTGAGGGCCCCGCCTGCCACCTGGCGCCGCTCCAGCGGGCCGATGGCGGGCAGCGCCGTGCCAGGCGGTAATTGCAGACAGACTAATTTAAAGAGATGAGACGGTTATTTTTAACTCGTGTTAAGGTAATGAACGGCGCGAGGGGGTGGGGGTGGGGTGGGGTTTTGCGGTTCGAAAGTTCAGTGCCCACCAACCCCCCACTTTTTGCGGTTTGGGGGGGCCCTCTCTCTCAGGCCGGGAGGACTCCAGCCTCAGGACTGACTGGCGTTGGGGCTTTGCCAGAGAGGGTGGGTGGGGTTGGCTGAGAGGGTTCCGGGAGGAGGTGCCCACCAACCAAGCGCCTGCCACCGTCCTTCCAGGTGGTTATTAGGATCCCTGTTTCCCAGATGGAGCACTGGCTTGCCCTGGGGTCGGTCACATCCTAGGAAGTGGCAGGCCTGGGAACTGAGCCCCCTTCTGACCCCCACCCCAATGTAAGCTTTTCCTATGCCATCGAGGCCAGACGCGAGCTTGTTCCTGGAAGCCCACCTTCTCTCTTCTTGGAGTGGCCGCTGGTGGTGGCGACCACCACGTGTGGTCCAGGGTCCTGGGAGCCCTGCTGTCTGTCTTGTGAGGGGTGATTCTGGACTGTGGGCGGATATGAGCCTCTGGGATACGGTTGTACCAGCTATAGCAGAGCTGTTCCTCACCTCCCTGCCTCCCTCACCTGTGGCTGACTCACCAGTGCACCCTCCCCTCCTGCAGCCTGTGGGGGTGGGTACCGA